TCGATTTCCCTGCACCTAGTTTGACCAGGCAGTGGAGCACGATGTCTTGGTCGACGTCAACGGAATCTATCTTGTGTTCCTCTGATGCATTCAGAGCTGATCCTATAGGGAGTGATGATCCCTGTGTAAAGACTCGGGAGGAGTAGTCTGACATTGCTTCTACTCTTTCTTGATCCTCGTATGTCTTACTATGGATTTTAGAATCCAGGGTGATCCGATTGACTTAATCAAATGAACTCAATGCATTGGAGAAATGAGGTGATTCAGCATCAACTAGATACTCTCATCCACGACACTGTTGCGTAATGGTGTAGCACAAACTATCTGTCACACACAAAAATTGTGATATGGATATGATAATATCAATGTAATACTTGTCATATCAAGGATCATTGAGAAAGTTTTCAAAGACCAAACCTCAGACTACTTTCTAAAAAATAAACTAATCAACCTGTCAAAACACGGATTCCTCAAGAAAAGATAATGTCACTTGCCACATAGACTTCTTCAACGAAGTCACCTATAGAAGAGGTAAGAGAGAACTAGTAATTATCCTCTATTTCGATATAAGGAAAGCCTTTGACAGAGACCCACACAATCTGCCAGTTAGCAGGCTATGCTCACTAGAGATATGCGACCCCCTCCACAGCTGGACAAAATCATTTCTTTGTGGCTGATATCCGACAACAAAAGTTGGCTCAATGACCTCCAGGCCTAGACCAATCAGCAGAGGTGCCATCAGGAGTGTGTATTGGCCCCCCTTTTCATCATATACACAGAAAGTATAAGTGAATGCTTTAGCATAGTCAAAACAATACTGTATGCACTTTACTTAAAGGAGACCCAAACGTGCACAAATGCAGATATCGGCACAACCGTGAACCCTACACACGGGGAAGTGAAAAAAACGGATCCATGATGTGAAATCTGAAGAATCGAGTTGAATGTAGAAAAGTGTGGCTGGCCTTGCATAGGTTGTTCCAATCTAGAAAGTGACCTAGAATTTCGGGACCACAAAACCCCCAGAATCAAATCTGTACTGGACCTAGGATTGAAATATTCGCATAATCTATCATTTCCAGAGCATATCTCGAAACAAGCATCGAAATCATGTAGGCTTATTTGTTTCCTACTCAGGAAATTCTACAGAAGTGAATCCAGAATTCTACTGTACAAGGTTTGTGTACGCCCACTGCTAGATTGCTGCTCATTCAAATTTAGTAGTACACGCTTAGAAGACAAACTGAAAGTAGAAGGAGTACAGAGGTACTTCATGCTAAAAGTACTCGGAACCGATAACGGCACAAACAACTATACCAGATGTGAAATCCTGGGACTAGAAACATTATGGTTAAGACGACTACGACTAAATCTGGTACTCTTCTATAAGCTTCTTAACCACATAGTATACCCCTGCTAATTATACTCGGTTCTCTGAAGACACTGGATATAACCTTAGACGCAATAAAAGTACAATGGCTATAGAACAATGTAAAACAGCCACCAGGCAGAAGTTTTTCTTAATTAGGTATGCCTAGATATGGAACAAGCTACCTAAGGAAATGCGACTAGCAAGCTCATTGGCCTCCTTTGAAAAAACACTTAATGACGCACTAAGTGAGTTTGCGAGCGACACCAGTGCTGATTCCCATGTAAGAGCTTCGGAAATCACAGGCCGATTTAGTGTATGAGTTTAGAGACTACACCTGTTGTTTGTTTTGCCTCTATTTATAATTTCAGACAAAAAAGCAGCAGCAATGACAATAACGCCCACACAAATAAGAGTCGATCGAATTATGTCTGCCTGATACAAAGGGTTAACCATAACCAACACACGAGAGAAACATGGGAAAACACCGCACCGAAAAGTAAAAGTGCCAAGGTGAATCAACAAAGTGCAATGAAATAGGTAAGTGCAAGTATCGTTAGTAAATTCATTTATAAAGGAAACTCCCTAGGTTGACAACGTTCATTTGCAATGTATAATGATATCCATATAGTTCGTACTATCATGATGTCCACTTTTGGTTTTAATACATTTATCCTCATGCCGGTTCCTTTTATTTTTTACCTTTCTGTGCATTTGGTGCACAACCGTACCCTACAGAGAATAGGAATAGAATAAGTCGAATCAAATTCATAAAGAGCTATAGAGTGTTGGGTTTAATGGAATGTAATGAGGATCAAGTAAAGACGTTATTAGAAAATGAATGAGATAAGACATTGTGAAGTGGTATTCAAAGATCCGACAATGGACAGCAAGTTAGTTTATAAAATGCTCCATAAATCTGTGCACATCCCACATGGTCGCATCTCAACAATAGGCTGAGTGAATGGTATATATTTAAAGGCAGAAGCATGATCTGTCTAGGCGTTCATTATTATCTTTTTCAAGATAAAGATCTAAGCCCTCATAAAAATCAGAAATATCTCTAGCCTTCAAATTGTATATTGCTGTTCCTGCAGAATGGGGCGATTCACCTTAGTGACCCCCACCATATCTACTGATCAGCTAGCGCCACCCTCCCTCCTTTATAAGCCATTTTCGCACTTTTGTAAGTAGCCCACCATATCGACCAAATGTAACGCACCACTCAGTTGTTACGCGCATTTTCGGGAAATTCAGTCAATAATAGTGCCTAGGATTATATAATATAAATTGTTTCAATTTCTTCAGAGCGTGCTTACTGTCGTCATTCCATTGCCTTTCCTTGTATATATATGTTGTGTCAGTGAAAAATTGCAAACATGCTTACTCCATTTTTACATTATTATCGTGCTGATCATTATTATTATATTATCCTTTAGTTCCTAGAGGGACATAGCCAAACGTCTCCATTGCCTTCTGTTTTCTACCAACTTTTTCACCCCACTCCAAGTCTGCCCATATGCTTTCATCTCCTCCTCACATGACCTCCTCCAATTCACCCTTGCACTGACGACCAACTCGCTGATTCCTTTTCGGGTTCCACTCGGGCGACGGCTAGTCTAGTGATGTCACTTGATGGTTTGTTTCCTCAGAGTATGGCCGATCCATCTCCATTTCTTCCTGCCTATTTGTTTCACAGTCGGTTCCAAGTTGGTTCGCTTCCAGAGATCACTCTCTGTTGCTGATCTTTTCCGGCCAGCCATCTGGTAGTGATTAGTATGGAGCGAAGACAGTTAGCTGTTGATGAAGGTCTGTAATTTGTTCGAAGTGCTCTTCATGACGCGCCCAGTCTCTGATCCGTATAGTAGCACTGACCGACTTCACACCGGAGTTGAAAATCCGGATCTTATTTTTGATGCCGAGTGCTGTTGACCTCCACACAGACTTGATGTGAGTAATGAAAGCTTGTCTTGCTTTCCCGATTCTAGCTTTGATATCCTCGTCAGTTCCGCCTGTAGTTGAAACGATGCCTCCCAGGTAGGTGAAGGAGGCATCGTATTGATGATGCCTGTTAACTGGAGTCCCCGATGTGCATAAAGTGAGGATATATTATTATAAGATGCATTTCATTGTTATATAAGGGAAATGACTTCAAGCTTTATTTTTTCCGAAGTGTCTGTAATCCATCCAAAAGATACTCGGGTTCTTTTGTTAATGCGAAGACAATATTTCCGTCTCTTGATGTGCTCCGTCGAATGACTATTTATCACACTGCTGCCTCAAACCAAATTGAAAAACGACAGCAACCATGTAATATAACCATAAACCAAATTTATGTAATTTAAATAATACTTATCCGGCCCGTACAACTGGTGTGTCCTATATAGGTAGGAACAAATATGTACCTTATTATAATACCATTACTAAATATGCTTACTAATCGCATATGTAATTTATCATATTGATGATGCCTGTAAACTGGCGTCCCTCGTGTACAAAAACGAGAATATATCATTATTATTATTGAAACTATTGTACTCCGGTGCTTCTTATTTATCGTCTATGACGACAAAATGCCTGTTTTCGTTAGACCACCTATGGATCTTCACACAGATGATCCAGAAATCTGGAGGAAACTCGAGGATGATACTTAATGCTTACGTCGAAAGAAAGCTCGAAAATCTGTTAGACTGGTGCAAAATTGGTTGTTTAGCATCAATGTAGTGAAGTACTCAGCCATGAGCATCGAGCACGTGAGTACCAACACAGAGGGAATACTGCACTCCTAATAATAATAATTTGTTTTATTCCAAAACAGTACTTGTGATACATAATGGAATTCTCAGCACACAGATGCTCACAGATCTAGGCGCCACTGTGAGTCATGAACCTAAAATTATGACGCACTTTCGCGCAAATGGTGCTTGCAGTCTTGTGTCCTTACTGCCAACAGATACGGTCTCTCCTGCCACGACAAGTGAACGGAACACCACATCATATACTTCCCTATTCAGGTTAAAACTGGAAAACTGCATCTCACTCTTTCCTTGATTGGCAGTCATATATCCTAGATAAACTTCGAAGGGAGGCCATATGTACACTTCGTGCCATGTCCAATTTATAATGAAACGAAAGACTTAACTTATCAAATCTATGCTGTTACCATTGGTAAAAAGGAGATACAATAAAGACGTTCAAACTTCCAAGAAATGACCATGGATATAGCCGTTCTTCTCTTTTCTTCCACACCAGGTCGGAAAGTCTCAAAAGACATATCAGAAGAGTTCAAAACATTCGGTAGAACCATGTCATTGCGAAGTACTGGCTTTACTACTGAACATGTACCGACTCTCAGAAGATGCAGTATTTGATCTGCCGATTAGATGAGTACAATTGCTTATTCAAAAAAGATTGAATGGGGATGACGTCTTTTATCCCCAACGAAAAACACAGACCGAAGAACATATGAATTCACTAAATTTGATACAAAGTCATATTATTTGACCTTTTCTTCCTACCTAAACCCAGAAAACAATATCAAAAACGAAGGATTATTACCCTCCTATGTAATTTTCTCTACCTGTTGACCAGTTGATTGACATCATCCCTAAAACCACTTCTCTGTAATATTGAATGTTTGAAGGCCATCGCGACCTTGACGGCTTTTTGACTGCGCATGTGATCGAGAAATGGAGAAACTTTCTCGTGTACATACCGGCTCCTTTGACTTTTTAGTGAAAGAAGGCTTAACTAGACTAGTCAAGGTACTCTAAATTTTGAAATTCTCACCTTATACCTGAAGCATTTGCAGCCACTGGAATTTCGTGCTGGTGATCATGTTGTTGAACTTAAAGTACAGGTATATTTACTTCTTTCGTTAGGTTTGATTAGCGAAGTTTATAGAAGTATCCACTCCTGTCAATCCAGACAATAAGACCTCTCTTCTTTACCCTAGTGAGGTGAGTTTGTACTGGTTTTCATGTCAATTTGCTTAGTGTCGGAGAGCTGGATTGACGTATGGTGGTGAATTGAAGTTGAGCGTCCGTGTATCCTTGAACGGCACAGCTTTGGGTGTTGTGGATGTTCCATGTGGAGTCTTACCTGTCATGGTCATGTCTCGGTCATGCAATTTATTCTCTCTACCGCGGTCTCAGTTTTATTTGCACAGAGAAGAGTACAAAGAGATTGGAGGATATTTCATAGTGCATGGAAAGGAGCGTGTTATAAGACTTCTAATTATGGCGAGAAGGAATTTTGTAAGCCTTCATTTTCTGCTAATGCGGTTAACAGCCTCTTGCCATTTGTAGACCATCTTTTAAGAAGCGTGGACATGGGTACACTGAGCGTGCCATTGTAATAAGATGCGTACGAGAAGATGAATCTGTTTCGGTGAGTAGAAATGCACTTAAGTTAATCCTTTTTCGAGTTCATTTACAATGTGTTTTTAATCTACTTCAAATCTAGACAGTCCGTCACTTCGCTTTATAAACATGATTTTGCTTTATTCAGTTCACTAAAGTAGACAGACACTAAAATTGTATCACAGCGAATTGTATTGTGAAAGGAACTACAATACAAGGCTGCATGTGATGCATATTCTTATAGAAATCCTTGCAAATATAACGAGGTCTGAATTAATTAGGTAGTAAACATTGAGTCAAAGTGAAAAACTCTGTCTTCCATTGCTAAAATCTTAAGGTAGAATATTTGTAAACTTTCCAGCTACAAACTAGTCAGGTGTTTGCACGCGGTTCAGGTTAGCCATATGTTGCACTGCCGTTATATTCTTTGGATTGTGTGCACAAATTCAAATCAAATCATTCTGATGTTTATATCTGCTGGGTCGAACTCATTGGTGACATCTATTAAGCGCAAATTAAATTATCTTGTTTATTGTAATGAAGCAGTTCTCAAATCACTTTTCTCTTTCTAATAATGACCTACCAATTGTGCTGGTTATATGGCCCATGGCTATGAGTTCGTTTTGGTAGTAATTCGTAGTAGTGTCTTCAAAGTACTCCACAAGAAACATCGATTACACCTTCAGGTGACACTAAAAGACTAAGTTAAGCACCAACTAATGAAGAAGATTGCCTCTATCATTCCCCATACACTGGTTGACTACAAAATCTTTTGTTCTCACTGGTATTTAAATCGATTTCTAAAGTTGTTATACAGCGATTAAATGTGACAGTATTAGCCGTGCATAGAATCTAAATTTTACGCTCAACTGGTTGATCAAAAAGTTTACTCTCTCACCTTAAAATGCCTTCCTTAAGTCATCGTTTCTCTATTTCTATGCAACTAAATTAATGTCATTTATGCTGTACAAATGTCAACCCAATGCATTTTAGATTTTGATGCTTCACTGGCTTATGAATGGTGAACCAGCCTTAGCATTCATCGTTGAACGTGAACAATTTCTAGTACCTATCTCCATTATATTACGAGTAAGTTCCTACTTTTTCTTGTTTCGAAAAACGCTTCTAAATTATAATGATAAATAACTCCATTGTTATTGTGGTCTGTATCAGTTTAAAAAAAATTGTCAAGGTACTTCAATTTTTCTGTCACCAGATACTTTGAAGTATCAGATTTTCATGATCATAAGGCATCGTTTTTCTGTAGACAGCTGCGTTAAGGATGCTTAGTTACTTTATTTTTCAACTTTGCGTTTGTCAATTTAACCCATCGTCTGATTGCTGCATAAAAAATAGACGGCTGGTTCAGCCCAACAAAAAACTTTGGAAATGCTTAGCTTAATTTGTATACTTTAGGAGAAATTTCCGTGATGTATGATATGCACTTCTCTTCTTATTGGGTATAAAATGATGTACTAAAACCAACCTTCGTTGATATGAGATTTTAAATTAGGTTTTGAACTGTTCATTTGTTGACAGAGTTTAGTCCAAGTTAATTTGCCTTTAAAATACGGACCTTATTTGGTGCTTGTTATTATGCCATTTATTACTCTATTTACATTTCGTTACCTTGCTGAGAATCACTGTATTGTTTTAAAACTGTTTCCTGTGTGATTGAAGCGAGTCTTAGTTATCAAAACTTAAAGCTGACGCCACGTATTTCATCACACTAACTTGTATCATGTATCAGGTAGTAGACTAAGAGCACTCAGGCATATATTTTGCTTGGTACTCACCAAATTCCCCAAGTTTCACAACCTTTTTCATACTAGTCGTTCAGGTTAGTTATCATGAAGTTCAAAATGACAAAGTTAGGGCACCGAGGTGTCACAGAGCTGTAACCACCTGTAGTTGGTGTTGTCGTTATTGTTGGTTCTGAAATGTTGGAAATAAGTCGCTAGAGGCCTTAAATAACGTATGTGAAATTTATGAAATCCTGTGTGTATGCTCACACTGTTCACTTTGATTATTCTGTATGCCTTCGCTGTTGTCATCTTGCCGTTCATTTACTTCTTATTTCTTTAAAAATTGTCACCAGTTCAATCGAACATTCAGCCAATCGAGTCCCATGTGTTTGTTTGCTTCAAAGCTTTGAAAAAAACAACTTTATTTGGTTAAATATCAAAGAAATCATAAATCCCGTAACTATTCAAGAATGTGCATGTCGGTTACAGTCTAATTGCTTAGTTATCTCTTTGAAGTAATCATGTCAGTACGATTCCCTGAGATTTAGTAAGCAAAAATTATCTTTATTTTCGACCGTTTGACAAACTTTCCTTGAAAATCTGTGACTAACACCTCAATATACGTCTCAGGAAGCTAACCGTTTCTTTTAGCTTACAACCACAGTCATCATGGTTCAATGGGATGTTACATATATCTTAACATGAAACCCAGACATTTTTCACTGTTCTGTTGACTGTCACTTCTGTTTCAACGTCTTTTGTCTGTTTTCAAGTAAATGATTTTGAAAATGTCTCTCTGATTGTTCACCCATAACTCCTCATCTGTGTTCTGGTATATGATGTGACCGTGAATAACTTTTCCTGTAACTTCTTCAGTGGCATCAACTGTATTGTATAACAGTGCAACTTGGAATCTTGAGCTATCTGATCCCCGTTGCCTTTGTAGTAGAGTTTCTCTTTGGGTAAGACGAAGTTCAGTCGTTTATATAGATATGCATTGAAAAACCTCCAACTGGTCAGACATACTTGACAGTTCATGAAGGCTCTGATTGTATAAGTTTAAGACTACTAAGAACAGCTGAGATTGTTTGTTGGATACTTGAGGTGATACCTTGCACCGAGTGGCAACTTGGCTCACTAGCTTAAGCGCTCGGCTTTTAGCCATTGGTTCCCACGTTCGATCCCTTGTCACCTACTTTAACCTTCACACAATAAAAGTGCCCGTAATATGAAAAACCTGTTTGATCGACAATACTGCATCGAGAAAAATATATTCATACGTTAAATGCATCCAAATCTTCAAACCTTTTACTGTCCAACATCTTTTTTTGATGTACTGTCGCCTTTCACCATAGCTTATATTATTCCCTTCGTCTCCGTACGAGCTTTGATTTATGATATCATGGGAGTGTAACAATTTGTGCTATCTATAAATCGTACCTATAATAAGTATCATTCTACTTGTGTGTGTGTGTCCCTTTCCCTTTCTCTTTGCTTTTTAAATTAGCAAGTTAATATAACTGTGTGAAGTTATATGACCCAAACATTCATCTGTCACCACAAATTTTGATCATAACAATTAATCAATCATACTTTTAACAATAGTTATTTTGAATTAATAATCAGAAAATATATTTTCTGTATTCCATTTGGTTTTTTAATGCTTTTCCTGTGTAATTCATTAAGAACAAGATATTATTATGACTATATTTTCAAGTTTATACGACTTGATCGCGGATTGATATCAGTTAGAGAACCATTGAAAACCAGCACTGGAGTACTGGACAGCTGCTGTTTCATCCTAGTTTGGGAATCATCGGCAGTACGCACCCACTGGAGTTCGAACCGAGGACCTTCCGGTTACCATGCAATCTGGCTCGTACACCATTTAGCCACTGGGACCCGATTCAATGGCTCATGAATTCCAACTTCTACCAATTCGTGATTTAGCGCAACCCCACCGACGACATTGGTCGGGGTCATTGAAACAGATCCCAGTGGCTGAATGGTATACGCGCCAGATCGCATTGTAATAGGGAAGGTCCTCGGTTCGAACTCCAGTGGGTGCGTACTGCCGATGATTCCCAAACTAGGATGAAACAGCAGCTGTCCAGTACTCCAGTGCTGGTTTTCAATGGTTCTCTAACTGATATCAATCCGTGATCAATGCGTATAAGCAAAACTAACCCTCACAAATCAAACTATAGTATATTTTCAAGTGTTGCTTTGTAGGGATTTGACTGACTTCCTGTTTAGAAAGCTATTGAAAACCTTGAAGTAATAAACTTCAGACTTGTCTTTTGACCTTAAAGTTTTAGAGGCTGACGGTATAGACGTTCGCGAATTGTACGGGGTATACTAACGGAAGACCTTATACCAACAGCTTCCGTAGTATTCGTTTCTTGTGGACCAAAGGCAAAGCAAGAGACAGTATTTGATCGTCCAAGTTACGAGATATATTTCGGGACCAAAACGAGTTGTTAGACGAACGCTTAGCTGGCTGGTGATCGTGCACGAACGTGACACGACGGAGTACCGAATGGCGGGGATGCTTGACCGAAAGCCTTCAGCTAAACACGTCGACTTAAACTCTAAGGGTCAGCATCCAATGTTCACTGATGATTCCTATGGTCAATAATTTTGGGGAATTATTTGCCGCTACAATGTCCTAGGTTCGATCTCTGGGGGGGGGTCATGAATGTATGACTGACATATAAAAATGCACAGGATTTCATCATGAGCTGATATTGGTTAGAGAACCACTGGAAAACCTGGGAGTACTGGACAGCTGTTTCATCATCCTAGTTTGGGACTCTTCATCAGTACGCACCCAGCAGGGTGCGGCAGGTCAGGTGTGAGGACAAGTACTTGCCGAAGACGTTAGCTAGCGGTTGTGCTATATCGTGAATTGGCAGAGGTTAGAATTCGTGAGCCATTGGATTGGGTCCCAATGGCTTAATGGTCTGTGAGCTAGATCGCCTTGTAACCAGAAAGTCCTGGGTTCGAACCCCGGTAAGTGCGTACTGATGAAGAGTCCCGAACTAGGGCGGAACAACTGTCCAGTACTCCCAGGTGGTTTTCCAATGGTTCTCTAACCTATGTCAGCTCTTGTTGAAATCCTGTAACCAGTCACTCAGATCCCTACAAACCAATATTTGAATAAAAATGTAGAACCCGGATACTCACTCACATTCTAAAATGTTATGGTGAGAAAACAAAAGTAACAAAAGTAGAAGAGGGTCACCGAAAAGAACCCCACAACCAATAAAGATACATGTTCTACGATTACAACCAGTTTTCGCTAGTATCATCTGATGTGGTTTTCCCCTCTGTTTCAAGTGTTTGTAACCGTAGACACCTTTAATTCTTATCACAAGCTAAGGTACTAACTTGTGAACTCAAATATTTGACTCTTCCTACCCTTATAAGTAGCTCAATGTATCATTTATTTTGACTTTGAAAGTAGTATAAGATTTACAGAGAAGTTAAATTATGGCAGCTACCCCAATCGACTTTATACTTTACCTCAAGCAGCTAATTAGAATAAAGTGGCAATAAAAGTCTCAAAGTTGTTAAATAGATAAATATAGATCGTGATCCCCTTCACCAAAAAAGACAAGTTGTATTGTCAAACTTTCCGCAGCAAGTTTGCCTTGTAACCGGAAGGTCCTTGTTTCAACAGCCAATGGGGTGCCTACTGCCAATGAGTCCTAAGCTAGGCTGATGAAGCAGGTGTCCAGTGCTCCTTAGTTTTTCAATGGTTCTATAGCTGATATCGACCCTTGATTGGACTTGAAACAAATGAAATCTCTACAAACAATCCCGTGAAATTAACTCCACTTAATCTGTTCACTCACACATAAATCAAACACTCGATATTCCTGTGGTTAAAGCGAATCCACAACAGAAGGCTTAATTTGATTTCATCTTACCATCTGTAATTCTAATTTTTTGTGAAAGGTCCTGTATCACGACAGTTGCTATAGTTCTACTTCGCCAAATGTACTTCTAAGAGTATTTAACAACTGTGACCCCGTAACTACTTCATGCAGATACGTATTCATGTCGGCTGACTGATTAATTTTTATTTTTGCGAGGTTCTTCCTACCTATGTGACTAACTGACTGTTTTCAACGTAGAACTTTGCACAGATCTACAGCAGTTTGTGTCGCCATACTCCATGTAGCGTACAAAGCAAAAGAAGAGAATAGCAAGATATAATAAACAGAAATATGAGGCAAAAAGAATAGTAGTATCAAGGAACACTGAAGTTTTATTGGAAATTATAAGTCACAAGGAGTGGATGCATCTGCACCAGTCATTGAGAACGATTGTCTCCAGCCTTCATTGGTTTTACTACCCTCAGAAAACCAACCATTTAGGAAGTCTTCACCTCCCCACGTGACTGGCTTAAACTAACTGTTGTGGATTTAATTGACTGATGAAGTTGTGTGAGTGACTTGATATAATTATGAGCAATAGTTTGTGCTCGAAATATCATCAATTAATATTACTGTATAACCACACTGTGTGATTTATTAAAATAAAATGTTATCCATAATGGAGTTATACTCTGAAATAATAGAGAAGATTTATAGCTCAGGTGGATGATTTGCAATTAATAGTGTTCTCTGAGCTGGTTTGTTTAGTTGCGGAGCTTTCGTCGTCCTTCTGGACATCATCTTCAGCGCAGTATTTAGCATAAAGTGAAATGATTTAAATTTCTTCATGAGTGATATAATTGCGTCTCCCGGTAACCATTTTTACACGTTTATGACCATTTTCTATTGACTTGGATTTTAAACTTTCTGGTCACCTGATTTACTTTTTATTAGTTGATAAATTTGGTCTATATTAACGTGTTTGTTAATTGCATTTTCGTTTGAGTACCAGGCTTCTAGGAATTCCCTGGCACTTTTGGTGTTTCCTCTGTCTAAGATTTCGACACTATCCCAATCAAATCGATGTCCATAATTGTCTATGCACATTGATATGAAAGAATATATATCGTGCCTTTTCATGGCTGATTTGTATTCTTCGATTCTAATTCGAAGGGGACGCCCACTTTGGCCGATGTAATGCCTGTTACAGTTCAAACATAGAATTTATTTTGTAAATGGTATTAATTTTATCTCCTTTTTCTGTTGGATCTTTCGGTTTGCACAATATCGAATTAAGCGATTTGACTGGCTGGCTTGTGTGCTCTATCTATATCAAACGGTTTCATTATTGTAGCTGTTATTTCAGAGATATTTCCTTTTGGTCTTTGATGATGGTTCTTTGTTGGTGTTTTGATTCGACTTTAAACACTCTACCACAGTTCCAAAGTTTTATACTTATATCAGTAAGTCATGTTTTGGTTTGATCACCACTAGCAGCTCTTTCCTAACCTGATCCATCTTATGCCAGTCAGCTAACATTGCCCGTCGGTCTAGGAAGACGATGCTTAGGCATGTATACGTAACATGTCCTAACCATGTCTCAGTTGGTGTAACTTCACACCCTCGTCGATTGATTTCCCTTTCTTACTCACCTAGCACTCGACCGATGCCTAACCTCAGTTCTAGATACAAATTGTTGAATTATTGCTTTACTACCTTTTAATATATATATACATATTCTGTTCCAGGCTTTGGTTAAGAAAACTGAATTCGAAATTTTCGATGATATTCGACGTGGCAGTGGGGAATCACTTTCACTTGAAGAGTACGTGTGTTTTTCTGCAATAGTTTTTAAATATTTCAATTTGTATTGTTAAATACCTTCCACTGTTATATTAGATACGACTTTTACTCAAATTGGCAATTCGTGGTACATGAGAATGTATGCTCAAACTTCAGCTTGAAGGTCATGAGTATATTTACTCTAGTCAAAGTGTTAAGATTTTGACAGTCAGATAGTACTATTATAACAACGGAAAATAAAGACCAGGCAACAGATCGTTTATTGTGAAAACCGGGAGATATTTATAGATTTTTATGTACATTATTATTAGCGTTATTGTTAGCGGAGAAGCGGTGTCTTCTGATTGGTTGTTTCTTGTCGCTCAAGGTTATTCTGTACTGCCTGTGACCGTTTCTTACAAGGTTATCCATATATCTGCGTATCGTATTTGTTTACGCTAAGTCTGCTGTGATTGGTTATTGATTTCCTCAGGGTTAGGCTTTATTTTTGTTTTTTCCCATGACCCCGATTCGGGATGTAATCATTGACGTAAATTGTTGTCTACAATTTCGGCTTGCAAACAGCTCTCACCACAATATTAGTACCATTCATAATGATAAGTCTTACTTCTAGCCTAATAAAATAATTCTCTAAAATTAAAGGCTGGTTGTAAATTCACCGAAACAGAGAGTTTACTGATCATACTTTCCACTTGTAAAGAGTCATGTTCTATTATTGGTTGTGTTTAGGCTGTGATGAAAATATACAATTTTAAGGCATAATAAATGTTGACAGTGAAAACTAGTTTTTTGAGCCATCAAACATGAAGTCAATGGAACACCTGCAAACCAGCACTTAAAAACTAATCTAATGCTTAATAGTAACTGACTTCAGGATGAAGTAGCCTGGATTTCTCTAGCGGGAAGTCGTGACCACCAAGCTTTGGGTGTGAGGACAAATGCTCGTCGACGACACTGACTAGCTCTGGCGCTGTATAATATCGCGAATCGGTAGAAGTAGTAAGTAAAAATTGATGGGTCATTGGACTCCGCAGCAGTAATTGAAGGTTTGTTGTGTATAACGTGAAGGTCCTGGGTTCTACTCGTAGTGGTGGTGTTGAGTGAGTACTGATAAAGACTCCCAGTTGGGGAAAAAAGCGATGTGTAGTACTCTGGTTTTCAGCGGTCCCCCTAACTGAAGTTCGTGTAGCTCAACTTTCACCGAACTCATTTATTTGTTAACTCGCATATTATATCTTAGGATTGATTATAATTTGCCCGATCGATAGCTGCTACCTTGATGTGATGGTCGGGCTTGCACATTGCAATGACCCAACAAGCTACACTGGTTGGATTTAATGTTCTTGCAGGTCCTACCATGCCAGGAAGATTGTTAGAATAGCGATTAGACTAAAAGCAGTTACCGCCATAAAGGGGTGGTGGTCTGTGGGCGAAGTCATACTGCTGGAGAACAGAGGTGTAACAGCAGTGAGCTGTTTCCCTCAGATGACCAGCATGCCAGCCAACTATGCTGTCTCCCAATCTGTAAAGAGAGATAGAGACGGGGTTAGAAAAGGTTGACCCCAACAATTGTACATCCCGACTTACCCCACCTACGGTGGTCCGTAACCGGCGGTAAGTTTACTAATACGGAACCAAACCAAGAAACCAGTTCTTACAGGTTGTGTGTGACCGGCCACAAGCAGTTGTCCTCTGGACTCTGCTGCCACGCAACAATAATTCTGTTTCAGGTACCCGAAGAATCAGTCAACTGTCAAGGTGTGGGCAGCCGGAAAGCAACAATCGCCCACACACTTATAATTTGAAGTCATATGAACCTCAAACAGTAGATAGAGTCTAGCATCTGAAGGAATGATCTGCATTGCTTAGGAATGATTTCTTTGAAATTTCTCATTGGTTTATGCAAGAAACTGTTAGTTATATTCTTTATATTCAATAACGGACTCCTTGTTTCTTTCTTCCTTTCTTCTGTAATTCTAGAAATGCTATGCGAATTCTGATGCGATTAAAGGATGAAGAGTATAGTTCACAGACTCGAGCTTTGTGTTATCTAGGTGGATTATTTCGCAGACGTATGAATGTGCCTGATAGGCTATCAGATGAAGAAGCTGGAAAATTTCTTCTTAAGTAATTTTGAACAATTATTATTTATTTAATTATTATTATTTTAAATTCTAACTAATCAATAAATGGTCGTTTAACTCAATTTATTGTCGGGAATTTGTGAAAATGCATTCATTGGTTGACTGAGATTTTAACTAGCTAGCTAACTTATCCTTTGTATATTTCAGTGATTCAAGATATCTTTTTAATTAAAATATCACACTCGCCATATATATATACGGGTTAGAAACTTGCATTACGTGTCGTGGAAAGGAATCCATATTAGTTTGTTTATTAGATGTATCCACCATCAGTGAAACAGTATTATTATTTACTGGATGACAGTTTCGAACACAATTTATTCATTGTTCATAATCATTTCATCAATTATAATCAAACGACTTCAAAAGTCGAGTTTTAAAGTTTTCTTTGTTCTCTCCTCCTATTTGTCGTCGTTGGGGTAGTGGAATTTTCCAGATGTTCGGTGGATACACCTGTTGAATCATTCCTAATATACGTATTCACTCTTAGTTGATTCGATAAACAAAGCTTCTGTTATCAATCTCTCCCTTCAACCAGTCAGTTGCATTGGATTTCAAAACTGTCATCTTATCCCATCCTATTGTGTGTTTGTGTGTAACTGCATATAGTGAGTGATGTAGCTGAACTATTCTCTAGATTTCTTATCTTATTTGGGTCAACCAATCTAGATTTAGCTAGGTTTTTATGTTCGGCTAGTTTGACTGCCCCTGTTCTACTAGCTTGACCTATGACAGTCATGGCAGGGTATTAGATAAACTAAATTGTTTTGTTTGAAAGGCTCCACAGGATCCATCATCTAACCGACAAAGCTTGTTTCTAAGTGAGTTTGTGAGTTTGAATGACGGCCACTTTTATTCCTGCCTTGTTAAGAATTCTCCACTGTGAGGTTTCCGAGGTTCCTTCATTGTATGGAATTACTGTTGATGATTTAGATTCCTTATTGTTGGTGTCCTCTTGCGCATGTTTGATATTCATGTCGTCATTAATGTAACTATTATTATTATTGTTACTATTATCACTATCATATAATAATAATAATATCAATGACGACATGCATATCAAATATGCGCAAGACGACACCAACAATAAGGAATCTTAATCATCAGTGGTGATTCCATACAAGGAAGGAACCTTGGAAACCTTACGGAGGAGAATTCTTAACAAGGCAGGAATAAAAATAACAATCAACCTGCAAACTCAGTTAGAAACTGTTGAATGGGGGATCCTGTGGAGCCTTTTAAACAAAACAATTTAGATTATGTAATACCCTGCAATGACTGTCAGGTCAAATTAGTAGAACAGGACCAGTTAAACTAGCCGAACATAAAAACCTAGCTAAATCTAGATTGGTTGACCCAAATAAGATAAGAAATCTAGAGAATAGTTCAGCTACATCACTCACTATATGCAGTTACACACAAACACACAATAGGATGGGATAAGATGACAGTTTTGAAATCCAATGCAACTGACTGGTTGAAGGGAGAGATTAATAACAGAAGCTTTGTTTATCGAATCAACTAAGAGTGAATACGTATAATAGGAATGATTCAACAGGTGTATCCACCGAACATCTGGAAAATTCCACTACCCCAACGACGACAAATAGGAGGAAAGAACAAAGAAAACTTTAAAACTCGACTTTTGAAGTCGTGTGTTATTATAATTGATGAAATGATTATGAACAATAAATTTTGTTAAAATCTGTGTCATCCAGTAAATAATAATACTGTTTCACTGACTGTGTGATACATCTAATAAACAAACTAATATGGAATTACTTACTACCACAGTGCCCAAGTTTTACACATATATTAAAACGGAAAGGATTTCCAACAGCCAGTTGCAAACTTTTATCAACAGCTGCCCCCCTTCGCTGGCTGGCTCCATACTGAAGATCAAATGGCCTGAAGGGAAGAATTAGCAACCAGAAACTGGATGGGAATAAACCAACAGGCGAGAGCCGATTGCTCAATAGATATGTAGGAGTAGACATGGATCGAATGACATCGCACGCCAGACTGTCGAGTAGAATCCAAATGGGAAGTGACGAGTGGGTCATCCTAGGATGACGCGAATCCGATCGTCAAGGGAAGAGGAGAAAGAGGAAATAAAAGATTATGGGCAATCGTTGACCCAGGTAATCATGAGGACAGCAGAAAATAGAACAATGTGGAGGTGTGTTGTTGAAGCCAGCCTTATGTTCCATTCGGGACTCAAGGAAATAGTACTAATAATAATACTGCCTTCACGATTTTATTACAGATTTGTTATCAGGTTGTTCGACTCCCTTATTATGTGGTGTCTGTGTTAGTGATCCTGTTTTTGAACTATGAACTATGTAAATTAAGATTAATTTGATGAGACGTGGTAGTTTTGTTCCTTAGGTCAGGTGTTTTTACTGTGTTCCATAAGAGTTGCATACAGAGTTAAAACATTTTAAGGCTTTTGTCATCACAAAGACTCCACGAATTAAAGTAAATTTGGTGTCTACCAATTTTGACTAGCAGACAGCTCTCACCACAGTAGTAGTAGTAGTAGTTGTTGTTGTTGTTGTTGTTACATTATTGCTCTGATCGTTCACCTTTCTCACATGCATATTTTTGCACTTTTCTGTTATTTCAGTGAATATATAGCAATCCATTTATCATCATTTTTGGATAAATATCATCTACTCTGGTGAGTTAAACACTATTCTTCTTTTTTTGTTAAATCATTTTACTGCAAACTAAAAATGTTAAACTAACCGTAACACCATAATTAGCTCCGTGGATAGACGACTGGAAAGCTGGAAAGAGCACTATGAGGAGCAGTTTAATTGGCCCACAGCCACGCTCAACCCGCCGAATATCCACACCTCCCTGAATGGGATAAAGACACAGGTTCTAAAGCTGTCACCAATCTGAAACAAGGCAAAACAGCGGAACCTGATGGAATGACTCCAGAGGTATTTAAGTACGGTGGAGACAGTTTACTGTCTGCAGTAACTGAGTTTATAATCAGCGTCTGGGAATCAGAAGAAGTCCCATCGGGTTGGTGTAAGTTACTGATTATCCCGATATACGAGAAGGGAGACAAGTCTTCCTGTGATAATCACCGGGGTGATTAGATTGACTAATATGATATATATCTAAAGTCCTAGGTTCAATAATCATGCGTAGACTAAGTGGTGCTCGGGAGTCACAAACACGAGAGAGCCAGGCAGGCTTTAGACCAGGAAGAGGGTGTATTGATCACAATGTCACCCTCCGACAGATTCTAGAACATAGGCATTCCTACCGGCGTCCAACAGTCATTATATTTCTTGACCTAAAGGCAACATTCGATTCTGTCGATCGAGAAGTTCTCTGGAGATGCTTGGCTGTAAAGGGAATCCCGAGAAAATATATTGCACTGATTAAGGCACTCTACTCGTACTCATACAGCCAGGTGAGGGCTTACGGCGAGCTGTCATCTGAACTGATGACGACCAGTGGTGTCCGTCAAGGATGCCCATTATCTCCTTTTCTATTCAACTTCATCATAGATGTGTTAATGGACTTAACCCTAACTCACTTCAGTGACTCAGGGATTGACTTTCTACCGGGGAATTATCTCGTTGACTTGGAATATGCAGACGATATAGTCCTTCTAGGCGAAGACGCTGACGAAATGCAGAGTCTTCTAAATACCTTGAGCTGCAATCTACGAATGTTTGGCATGCGATTCGCTCCTGCTGTCAAATGTAAGATGATGTTACAGGACTGGACTACATCGACGCCTAGTTTAGAAATAGGAAGTGAAGTGGCAGAGCACGTTGTCGGCTTCACATATTTGGGAAGTTGCATCAGTTAGTGCCAACGGGTTGATCTCTGACAAAATCTCAGCACGGATACAGGGGGCTCGTTTTGCATTTGCCAGTTTACTCCATCTCTGAAGTAAATGTGATATCCGGCTATCGACCAAAAGACGTGTGTACTGCTCATCATTCCGCTCCGTCCTCCTTTATGGCTGTGAGACGGCCATTGAGAGTGGATGACATGAAAAAGAACAGCTAGCTGTCTTTGATCATAGGTTCCTGTGCTCTATCTCCTGTGTGAAGTGGTATAATAAGGTGAGCAAAATTGAGGTTAGGCACGGATCGAGTGCTAGGTAAGGAGGGGAAATCAATCGATGAGGTTGTGAAGTTAGATCGACTGAGATGGTTAGGACATGTGTTACGTATGCCTAGTCATCGCCTTCCCCGACGGGAAATGTTAGCTGATGTAGGGTCAGGCTGGAAAAGAGCTAGCAGCGACAAATCAAAACATGGCTTCATCAGTCAATGAAATCTACAACAGTTATTCTAAGCCACGTAGGAAGGTGTAGACTTCCTGAATGGTTGGGGTCCTCGGGACAGTAAACACCAATGGTTAGAAACAATTGGTGATGTGGCTCAAACTCATCGTTCTCTATGGCTAATGCAGATGCATCCACTCCTTGTGACTTATGATTTCCAATTAAACTGTTTTGTTCTTCGTTACTACTATTCCTTTGTTTCACACTTCTGTTTACTGTCTGTATTATGCATTTTCTTCTATCTTCTTCTCTTAGTTTGTGTGTGCCACATGGAGTGTAGCGACTTGAACTACCGCTTATATGTGCAAAGTTCTATGTCGAAAACAGACAGATGTGTTATATAATAAAAATAATAAGATATAATTCTAGTTACTGATAAGCATTAAAACTCTAGGACTTTTATTCATTGACCTTATGAATAGGTCTTTGACAGCTTCAACATCATGGAGAGCAGTATTGCAAGCGTTTATAAACCTCATTCAATAACTGAGGAGTGAGACGACATGCCATGCCATTCAAAACGGAAAGCTCAGCGACTCACACCAACAGGGCGTGGGGAATGAGAAGGTTAGGGGACACATGTTGGAGTGGAAGTAAAGCTGTAGAAGATCTGAATTTTTGCAGATAATTTCGTGTCTCATATGATTAGAACTCGAAGATTTAAAGGCCGAAAATCAACAAACTGGGAAAAGAGGCAATGAAGGCAGGATTACAGATGTACATAGAGAAAAAGTTAAAAATATGGACGAAAATTTCCAAGTGTTGGTTTGTAGGGATTAGACTAGATCACGAACTAATATCAGTTAAAGAAACAAAAAAATCAAGGCTAACTATAAACCGACTGTTTTGACGCAATTGGGGATTCTTCAGCAATACTCATTCACCACTCCAACTAGGATCAATGTCAAGACATTCTGTTGAAGAGGTGAGGCCGTTGATCATTTTGTTATTGGGTGTGTATTACTGATGGTGATATGGCTGAAAAACCATTCTTAGTGGCTCAGTTGCATTCACCCCATGTCATCTCCCAGATCTGTTTAATCGTCAGGTTTTTCCACGTAACTATCCTTTCTCTAACACATTTTTGCATACTATAGTTCTTTTGACTTCGCCCATCATGATATATGTTTGATTTCCCACAAACTGGAAGATATGCAAGTGAAAAGCAACAAGCTGATAGAAGAAGAAGCATCAAAGATAGGCCTACAGTTCAGGTAAACATAGAGAAAACAGAGGTGATGGAAATTCCTGGCCGACAACAACAGATAACAATCAACATAAATTGTAGGAACCTGAAAGAAACAACCTCCTTTACCTACCTGGGAAGCATCGTTTCAACTACAGGAGGGCGGGACTGATGAGGATATCACATCAAGGATCGGGAAAGCAAGACAAGCTTTCACTTCCCTTAAATCTATACGGATATCAACATCACTACTCAGGATGCGAAATAAAATCCGTATCTTTAACTCCAATGTGAAGTCAGTGCTACTATACGGATCAGAGACTGGGTGAGTCATAAAGAGCATCTCAAACAAACTTCAAACCTTCATCAACAGCTGTCTTCGCTCACTACCCAAGATCAGATGGCCAACCAGAAAAGATCAGAAACAGGGATGGGTCTCTGGGAGCGAACCAACCCAGCAGGAACCGACTGTGCAACAAATAAGCAGGAAGAAATGCAGGTGGATTGGAGGCCATACTCTGATAAAAACAAACCATCAAGTGACATCACTAGACAAGCCATCGCTCGAGTAGAACCCGGAAGGGAATCGGCGAGTTGGTCGTCAGTGTGAGGGTGACTAGAAGGAGGTCATGTGAAGAGGAGATGTAAGCATGTGGGCAGACTTGGAGCGGGGTGAAAAAGTTGGCAGAAAACCGAACGCAATAGAGACTTGGGCGGCTGAAGCCCTATGTTCCTCTAGAAATTAAAAGAAATAATGACAATATCATAGTTTCTTTGAAATTTTTTATATTTTCTATACTTTTGTGTGCCACATAGAGATTGGCAACCTAAACTACTGACCCTCTGTGGTAAGTTTTACGTTGAAACTCTGTCGCTCAGTCTGTGGCACGTACTACTGATAAGATTTATCAGTAATGTCTAGGGAGACGTTCACAGGCATAAAAATATGAAGTAGCAGGCAGATAAATTTTACGTCAGAGAAAGCAAATCATACAGCGTTGTGGAGAAAAAGATACATGGGAGACGATGTGAAACGAACACAAAGAAACACGCACACACACACACACACACAATATGAAGGCCAGAAGTAGCACAACCCCGACTATCTGTGCAAACAGTGCGTTGAAGATAAGAGGTGTACATAATCTGGCTATATAACGATACTAAATTGCAAGTAAACACCCCTTCACCTACCATGTCTTCGTCTTTTACCGTCGCAAGCCTATTGCAGAAATCTCCCAAACTAGGACAACAGCCTCCCAACTACTCCTTAATCTAACTTGCAATCTAATCAGTCCTGGATTTCGATGTATATTTTTAACTGTTTCGTATGGAGCGATAACTAGTGATCATTAGTGTTAGTGAATTATACAAACGTATTTCGTAGCGATAGGAGTTTTAATGCAACACTTTCTCACTGTTGCAGAAAAAATCACTAACTTACCTTGATTATTTGTGTCTGGTCTGCGTCAAGCTTGTTATTGAGAAATGTTGATAATATGAAATGTTACTCAACAATCACTTGCAATGGTATGCGGTTACCAGTGCACCACACCTCTTTTATAAAAACTGTGTATACCGCTCAGCAGTTCGCGCCGTCATCCTTTATGACTAGCTGTGAGACATGGCCATTGAATGTGGAAGAAATGAAAAAACAGCCAGCTGTCTTTGGTCATAGGTGTCTGCGTTCCATGTCCAGTGGGGATTGATATATTCAGGTGAGCAATATTGAGGTTAGGCATCGGTCGAGTGCTAGGTAAGGAGAAGCAATCAATAGATGAAGCTGTGAAGCTACATCGACTGAAATGGTTAGGGCATGTGTTACGTACACATGCGTGGGCACTGCCTTCCTCGATCGACGGGCTATGTTAGGTGACTGATAGGGTTGATCAGTTTGGGAAAGAGCCAGTGGTGGTCAAACCAAAACATGGCCTCGTCAGTCAATGAAATCCACAACAGTTAGTTTAAGCCAGCCAGTCACGTAGGGAGGTGTAGACTGCCTGTATTTATTTATTTAAGCGCATAAAAACTTGATACAATATGGCACCAAGAAGGATGCACCACACAATAATAAAACGACATAGATCAAAAGAAAAAAAGAAAGAAGAGAATATATATATATATATGTAAGTAGAGAACGGATGAAGAACTTCATCTGGAAGGAAAACAGTAATGTTTAACAAGTTCAAACAGTATTGGTTAACTATCATCAGGAAGGGAAGAAAGAAGGAAATAGCAACACGTGTAATAGCACGCGATAATTTTCATTGATTGTTTGTTGCTTCATTCAATTCATTGTGTGAGGGCTGAGATACTGCCCGGGTGCCAAGACCGAAGCAGGTGGTTTTATTAAGGGATCACCACCAGAGCCTTCGACTTGGAGTTTAATCCGAAAGGCAGCGGAGCAGCGTCAGGATCTGCATTCCCATGGTTGCAGCCGGTGACCCATATGGGTTCATACGCCATTTGATCCGATTGGATACTGGAGCCCATGTACCCGATGGTAACTGTTTTTAGTTTAACCGCTATCCAAACAACCTTCCTGACATGGTAGGACCTGCAGGGACAGAGTCCCAGTCAGTTTAGCATGTTGGGTCATTACGGTATTCAAGTCCCACCACAACGACAAAGTAGCAGTTATCGGCCGGGTAAACTGCCTGACTGACTGGTTGTGGTCCTCGAGATACTAAAAACCAATGGAGGCTGGAGACAATTGGTGAAATGGCTCGAAATCTGTGTTCTTAATGTCTGGCATAGATGCATTCACTCCTTGTGCTTTATCATATCCGATAAAATTCTTTTGTTCTTCCATATTACTATTTTTTCTGCCTCATATCTCTGTTTATTATCTCTGCTTTGAATTTCTCTTAATTCTCTTCTGTTGCTTTGTGTGCTACATGGAATGTGACAGCTTGAACCGGTGCACATCTGTGCAAAATTCTACTTTGAAACCAGTCAGTATGTAAAAACTAAATATAGAGTTATAGAGATTGATAGGAAGCGTCTAGAATTGAAATCAACACTTAAAGTCAATGGCCGCAGTGAATAGTAGAGGTGTTTATTCCTCAATTCTGGATTTAGTTTACGTTATGGTCATGAAATAACCTCATTGGTCAAGCATGTTTAACCCCACGCCAAACACCAGCCAATCAGAACGACTTATTCTCCTCTGGCCTAACTGAATTTTAATATGGCGGAGAAGGCATAAATATGATGTGCGTTTCTCTAATGAAGGTCTGTTACCAAGTCTCTTGTCTTCTACCGTCATGCAGAGATACTACTTGGCTGTGCGAATCTCGTCAAAGTGAAACGGGGTTCGAACCTGTGACTCATTCAGTGGAAGTCAAGCGCCTAGGTTAATAAGCTACGGTCCCATTGTTGAAGATTTATTTTGTGTCAATAGATAATTACAAATAGTATATGATCCTAAAATTTGTCCATAATATATACATTCCTGATTGGGTTTATCCCATTAACTTGTTTTTCACTCTTTTAGTTTTATGATTAAAAAGTTACACGCATTTGTTTCTGGTTTATGCTGTGAAGAGAGTAATGATAATCCAATGTTTCAAGAAGTCCTACTACCATCCACATTGTATCTACAAGTATTACGTGTAAGTTGACCATTTATGTTTAATCGTTACTCTCAAGTGGTTGGCTTGTAGGGGTTTGATCGATTGGGCGTTACAGTTTTGCATCATGAGGTGACATCGGTTAGAGAACCATTGGGAAACCACCAGGCAGGGAGTACTGGACAGTCAAATGTTTCGTCAGCCTACTTTGGGATTCTTCATCAGTACACACACACCGCTAGGGTTCGAGCCTAGGAACTTCCGGTTACAAGGCAAGCTAGTAGACCATTCAGCCAAAGGCTCCCGATCCAATGGCCAGGCCATGAATTCCAACTTCTGCGAATTCATGATATAGCGCGACTTGCACTAGCCCATGTCATCGGTGACGAGTATTCGTCCTCACACCCGACTTGCTTCACTTCACTGGTCACAACTTCTCACTAGAATCCAGGTAACTACCTACCTACCTAACTAGGGCCAATCAAAATACTTCAGTGAATTCCACTCATACAAAAAGGTGAAGTGTAAGCGAATATTAACCGATAGATTTCAAGTTGAAATCTCTCCTTGGTTTTAAATCCGCTTTAGCAGACTATTATTATCATTATTTCCTTTAATTCCTTTAATTCAGCCGCCCGCGTCTCTATTGCGTTCGGTTTTCTGCCAACTTTTTCACCCCGCTCCAAGTCTGCCCACATGCTTACATCTCCTCTTCACATGACCTCCTCCAAGTCACCCTCACACTGACGACCAACTCGCCGATTCCCTTTCGGGTTCCACTCGAGCAATGGCTTGTCTAGTGATGTCACTTGATGGTTTGTTTTTATCAGAGTATGGCCTCCAATCCACCTGCATTTCTTCCTGCTTATTTGTTGCACAATCGGTTGTTGCTGAATTGATTCGCTCCCAGAGGGCCCTGTTGCTGATCCTTTCTGGCAATTTGGGAAGCTTTTCCAATCTCGTACATGGTGTGGACGTTCCATGTCCCCACACAGACTTTTTCTTTTGGCGCAAGGAGATTCATCGTGTTGAAGTTTCTGGACAGTCCATCTCCATGTCTTCCTACATATTTGTTTCAAAATCGGTTCCTGGTTGGTTTGCTCCTAGAGGTCGCTGCTGCTGATCTTTACTGGCCATCTGATCTTGAGTATTGTGGGAAGACAGCTGTTGATGGAGGTCTGTAGTTTGTTTGAGATGCTCTTTATGACGCGCCAAGTCTCTGATCCATATGGTTAGTAGCACTGACTTCACATTGGAGTTGAAAATTCGGATCTTATTTTTGATGCTGAGCGCTGTTCACCTCCACAGAGACTTGGGAGTAACGAAAGCCTGTCTTGCTTTCCTGATCGTCGCTTTGATATCTCCGCCTGTAGTTGAAACGATGCTTCCCAGTTAGGTAGGTGAAGGTTGTCTCTTTCGGGTTCCTCCCATTTATGCTGGTTGATTGTTGTCTGTTGTTGTTGCTGTTGGTGCTGGCCAGGAATCTTCATCACCTCTGTTTTCTCTATGTTCATCTGAAGTAGATCCTATCTTTGATGCTGCTTCTGTCGACTTGTTGCTTTTCACTTGCATATCTTCCAGTTTGTGGGAAATCAGACCTATATCATCGGTGAAGTCCAGATCCTTGAAGTTTTTTGTGTGGGTCCATTGTATGCCTGTCTCCTCGCTTCTCGCTCTCTGTCACATCATCCATTGTACTGTCATCAAGAAAATCATTGGCCATAGCAGGCAGCCTTGTCTTACTCCCGTCTTCACTTCGAAGGATTCCGTAAGTTTCCCGTTGTGGATTATTTGGCATGCAGCATTGTCGTACCACTATTAGATGAGATGTATAATTGTCGGTGGCACCCCGTAGTAGCGAAGTAGTCGCCAAATCACCTCTCGATCAACATTGTCTGTAGATGACCTTTTCAAAGTCGATAAAATTGAGATAGAGAGCTGACTGACTGCCATTCCAAGCTTTGTTCAATGATGATCCGTAGTGTGGCGATTTGATCAATACGTGACTTGTTTCTCCTGAACCCAACCTGTTCCGGCCGAAGTTTTTCATCCAGGGCTTGTTTTTATCTCTCCCTCTACACAGATATTAGACATGGTCACTGAAGTAAAAGATGTGAAAAGTCTAAGTGTCTGTGATCTTGGGTGTCTGCGCTAACTGGTATAATCCATTGGGGTTAGGCATAGAGTGTTAGATAAGTAGGGTTAGTTAGTAAAGTTGTGGATCCACCTCGATTGACTGAGACGCCTAAAACACCTGTTAACCATACTGTGAGGCATAGGCACTAACTTCAAACACAAGGAGAGACACTGTTTGACTTGGAGACCCCCTTCGTCAAACCAACGCTGGACACAAATAGACCACATAGCAATAAGCTATCGTTGGCGTGGGTCGGTAGGAGATTGTCGCTCCTTCTGGAACACGTGCGTAGATACCGACCATGCACTGGTCCGCGCTCGGGTGTGCTTACGACTGAACGGACGTAGGAAACAGCTGGCGGTAAAACCATCACGTCCCCAGCTCGATCAGGAAACTAAATCCGTATTTCAGGAAGAACTAGCTAAACACATATCTGTGTTCGACAGCTGTGCTCACCCTGAAGAAGCTTGGAAAAATATCCAGGCAGCCATAGATACAGCTGTAAAAGCTGTGAATAAGGTAAACCCAAAGGTGAGTAAAAACCACTGGATCTCCACCGCCTCATCCGAACTGATAGATGCTAGAAGACTTATTCCGGCGAGCTCCGAATTCAATGAGGAGCGAAAGCTGCACAAGAGGAAACTTACGAAAAGTCTCCGCAAGGACCGTGAACAGTGGTGGGCGACAAAAGCCAAAGAGATGGAGAAAGCTTTGAGGATAGGCAACACCAGGCAACTCTTTGGACTCATCAGGGAAACGGGTGGGAGAAGACAAATCATTAGTGAGACAATCTCGGAAAAAAATGGCACTATAATTAGCTCCAGGATAGACGACTGGATCGTTGGAAAGAGCATTATGAGGAGCAGTTTAATTTGCCCACAGCCACGCTCAACCTTCCGAGCATCCAACACCTCCCTGAATGGGATATAGATACAGGTCCTCCGTCACTAACTGAGGTTACTAAAGCTGTCACCAATCTGAAACTAGGCAAAGCAGCGGGACCTGATGGAATGACGCCAGAGGTATTTAAGTACGGTGGAGACAGCTTACTGTCCGGATTAACTGAGGTACTAGGCAGCGTTTGGGAATCAGAAGAAGTCCCATCGGGTTGGTGTAAGTCACTGATTATCCCCATATACAAGAAGGGAGACAAGTCTTCCTGTGATAATCACAGAGGGATTAGCTTGACTAATATAGTATCTAAAGTCTTAGGCTCAATAATCATGCGTAGACTGAGTGGTGCTCGGGAAGCACAAACACGAGAGAGCCAGGCAGGCTTTAGACCAGGAAGAGGGTGTATTGATCATATCTTCACCCTCCGACAGATTCTAGAACATAGGCATTCCTACCGGCGTCCAACAGTCATTATATTTCTTGACCTAAAGGCAGCATTCGACTCTGTCGATCGGGAAGTTCTCTGGAGATGCTTGGCTGTAAAGGGAATTCCAAGAAAATATATTGCACTGATTAAGGCACTCTACTCGTACTCATACAGCCAGGTGAGGGCTTACGGCGAGCTGTCATCTGAACTGATGACGACCAGTGGTGTCCGTCAAGGATGCCCATTATCTCCTTTTCTATTCAACTTCATCATAGATGTGTTAATGGACTTAACCCTAGGTGACTTCAGCGATTCAGGGATTGACTTGCTACCTGGGAATAATCTCGTTGACTTGGAATATGCAGACGATATAGTCCTTCTAGGCGAAGACGCTGACAAAATGCAGAGTCTTCTAAACACCTTGAACAGCAATCTACGAATGTTTGGCATGCGATTCGCTCCCGCCAAATGCAAGATGATGTTACAGGACTGGACTACATCGACGCCTAGTTTAAAAATAGGAAGTGAAGTGGTAGAGCACGTTGACCGCTTCACTTATTTGGGAAGTACCATCAGCCCCAACGGGCTGATCTCTGACGAAATCTCAGCACGAATACAAGGGGCTCGTTTCGCATTTGTTAGTTTACGCCGACTCTGGCGTAGACGAGATGTTCGACTATCGACCAAAGGGCGGGTGTACTGCTCATCAGTCCGCTCCGTCCTCCTTTATGGTTGTGAGACCTGGCCACTGAGAGTGGAAGACATGAAAAGACTAGCTACCTTTGATCATAGGTGCCTGCGTTCTATTTCCCGTGTAAAGTGGCATAATAAGGTGAGCAACATGGAGGTTAGGCGTAGAGTTCTAGGTAAACAGGGGAAATCAATCGACGAAGTCGTGAAGCTACATCGACTGAGATGGTTAGGACATGTGTTACGTATGCCAAGTCATCGCCTCCCTCGACGAGCTATGTTAGCGGATATAGGGTCAGGCTGGAAAAAAGCTAGCGGCGGTCAAACAAAAACTTGGCATCAGTCAATGAAATCCACAACAGTTGGTCTAAGCCACGTAGGAAGGTGTAGACTTCCAGGCTGGGGTCCTCGGGACGGCAAAAATCTATGGTTGGAAACAATTGGTGACATGGCTCAAAATCGTTCTCAGTGGCGCAGATGCATCCACTCCCTGTGACTTATGATCTTCAATGAAACTGTTTTGTATTTATTTATTACTCCTTTGTCTCACACCTCTGCTCACTGTTTCTATTATGCTTTTCTTGTACTTTCTTCTCTTGCTTCGCGTGCTACACGGAATGTGGCGACTTGAACTTCCGCACATTTGTGCAAAGTTCTATGTCGAAAACAGACAGACAGACAGGCCTCCTCATCGAGAAATGTTCCTTGACTCAGGATTAGCTTGAAAAATAGCAATAGTTTAACCAAAACGTGGCAGAAGTCCATGAAATCTTTGTTAGTTGGTTTGAGCCACATATGCAGGTGTAGACTGCCTATTTGGGGTCTTCAAGATTATAATAACCAGTTGCTTGAGACTGTTGGTGTTGTGGCTTAAAATTGTTGGCAATAAGGCAAATGTGCACAGACGTTTTGCCATATATACGTATATACCTTAGTCTTATATTTTTTAAATATATTTTTTCCCTCATTTTAGGCAAAAATAACCTTCTTCCTATCTGGTGTTCGAGAACAAATTTTATTGAAAACTCGTAGACAAAATGTTCGTGCCACCTTGTGTAAGTGACCAAGTGTATTTATACACATTCATGTGTGTGTGCATGCGTTTGTGAATAAATGAAACAGTTATCAATCTATATATGTAACACTCTGTATATACATCACTGAGAGAAACTGGACAGGCTGTAGACCGAAAATAGGATGTATTGATCATGTCTTCAGCCTTCCGCATAGATTTTGGAACCATTGACACAGACTGGACGTATTTCTTGATTTGAAAACGACGTCTGACTCCATTTAACCCAGAGGTACTATGGTAGTGTTTGGCTGTGAAAGCAGTGTCGAGAAACCGCATCACGCACTGATTAAGGCACTCTACCAGGACTTATGCAGGTCGGAAAGGCCGTCATCTGAAGTGATGACAGTCATTGGTGTTTATCAAGGACGCCCACTGTCCCCATCATGGTTTAATTTCGCCATCAATATAATAATAAGTGTGATTCAAATAAGATTTAGCAACACATGGACTAATTTGTCACTAGGTAAATTGTCTTGTTAATTTAGAGTATGCAGGACGATATTGTCCTTGTCAGGTGAAGACACTGACAGGATGTAGAGTCTTCTGAACACCTTGAACATAGAGCTTTCAGTATGTGTGACATGCATACATCACATTATTAGTCTTTAGCTGTTTCAAATAATATCGTTAACTTGAAATATTATTTTGTTGTCACGGAATATACACATTGGGTCGTAGGAGTTATTAAGAAGACAGTTGCAGCGAAGAAAATTTTCTTTTCAACGGAGTCATCATCTAGGCTGTACATTCGTGTATTTATATCAAATGGATGGAAAGTTCCATAATAATTTCCGGTTAAGGGTCAAATTAATAAAAATTAAAATAAGGAATTAAAATACCATAATAAACAGGGGGACGGATAAAACTCAAACAAAGTAGCGTCATAATTACTAAGTTGGCGCATGGTACGGCCGATGTACTCAGCTCCGCATGAGCAAGTAAACTGGTATATGCACGTTGAAGTGGCCCAATGCGACAGCTTGTCTTTCGCGTTCTGGTCGAACAGTTTTTTTGGCAGGAAAACGTCAACTCGAGGTGAAGTATGCTTCCCTCAGCGATTTGGAGAGGCGTTTACGAAGGATTTCTGCTTCAATGTCACCTTTGAATTCTAGATTAATCAGAAGCATCTTCTTCTGGACGGATTTAACTTGTTTGGAAGTCTTCTTTGATTTGAGGTTCTTGTTTGTGAACCTAGGAGGAAAACCGTTTTCCATCAGGGTTCTTCGGAGAATAGTCAATTTTTCATCAATGACCTACTCGCTGCATATCTTCCGAATCCTCGAGGAAAGAGCGTATATCAGGTTCCTCTTTCTGCTTAGGGGCACGAAGCTTTGAAAATTGATGAATTGTCCATTCCATGTAGGCTTTCTGTATATGGACCTTTTCAGAGAGTTGTTGGCGTTTCTTGTCAGATGGACGTCGAGGAAGTGGAACATTCCGTCGGATTCAGTTCCAAGTGTAAAGTCGATGTTTGGGTGGGCGTTATTGAAGATTTAAAGTAGGTTTTTTAAATCACAATTCTCATCACAAATAATGAAAATATCATCGATGTATCTCTTGTAGATATACATAAAGCAGTCAACTAGGAGGCGTCCTAAGGGAGAAGAGATGCATAGTCAACCGGAAAGATTAACGTCGATTGAGACGTTTAAGACACGTCTTACCCATGCTAAGCTGTGGGCCTCCTCGTCTAACAGTGTGTTAGCTGACGCAAGATTAGGTTGAAAAATAACTTCAGTCAAAACAAAGCCTGGAATCAGTGCAATACACGAAATCTTTGGTAGTTGGTTGGATCCACATGATGACGTACAGACTGCCTGTTTGGGAACTCTGGCTCCCTGACTAATATCAAACTTGAGACAAATCAAATCCCCACAAATAGACTCTTGAAAATTAATCTGATGCACGCTAGCGACTGGTTGCAGGACGAATTTGCCTGCAGTGCTAGTGAGAAGCGTTACCAGTGAGGGTCCAACCGGTCAGTTAGGAGGACAAATATTAGTGACGAATGACACTGGTTGGTGCCATTGGCGCTAAAATCACAGATTTGTAGAAGTTAGAATTCACGATTTGGCCATTGGGGAGTTATGTCCCAGTAACTATATGGTCTTCGAGGTTGCCTTGTAATCGGAAGGTCTAGCATCAAAAACCCGATAGGTGCACACCGCCGATGAGCCCCAAGCTAGGATGAAACAACCGTCAAGTACTCCTTGGTTTTCAATGGTTAGTTCTCTGATTGGTTACCAATCCGTGACCAAACCTAAAAAAACCAAAAATAATTATTCAAGTGTTGGTTTGTAGAGATTTGATTGGTTACAGGATTTCATCATGAGCTGATATTGGTTAAAGAACCATTGGAAAACCTGGGAGTACTGCCAGGTGGCTGTTTCGTCCTAGTTTAGGACTCTTCACAGTACACACCCACCGCAGAGGTTGGAACCCACGACCCTCTGGTTACAAGCTCAGCGAGCTCGTAGACCATTAAGCCAGGAAGAGCGCAAGGACGAATTCTCACCGAAGACATTTGCCAGTGGTCGCGCTATGTCGGGAATTGGCAGAAGTTAGAATTCATGAGACATTGGATCTGGTCGCATTGGCTTAATGGTCTACGAGCTGGGTTTGAACCCTATGGTGTGATGCGTACTGAAGAAGGGTCCTAAACTAGGACGAAACAGCTGTCTGGCAGTACTCCTGGGTGGTTTTCCAATTGTTTTCTAACCAATGTCAGCTCATAATGGAAAATGTTTATATTTTTTTCTTGATGATTGCAAATTCCATTCTTAAACTTATCATAAAATGGTTACCATAGAGACAGATAGACGTAATTTACATCAGGCATAGAAGTACTTTGATAGGATTTATGTTTTTTAACGTAACGTTCTGTCGATTATTTATCTTAACCCTGTTTTGCTCTATTTTCTGATCATTTGATGAAAATGTCCAATAAAATCTTTCTTTTTATGTTTCAGCTTTATTTCATCAAACTCTGAATTCTCGTGCATCTGACATTACTACAGCAATGGTTTATTTACTCTCCACTGGTAACCTTCCTCCGACTTGCAAGTCGACACTAGCCGCTCAACTTAGCGGTCAATCAACTGGTCTTACTGTTCCTGCAGACAATGTGAATTTTCTGCGTTTTGCTGCCCAATTTCGAGCAGTTCATCGTGGTGCTTACTTCACAGAAATGCGTACTACATCTGTTCGTCGTTTGTTACCCGAAGCATGGGGTTTCTTTTGTCCTGTTCATACACCGGATGGTGCTCCATGCGGGCTGTTGAATCATTTAGCTGAACCTGTAGAGGTAAAGTGTAAAATTCTATTTGCGGTTGGTTATTGATGTTGCAGTGTTAATTTCGGAAAGAGTTTTGTCTAATGTGCTATCTCCCCTGACCGGATTGACTGCTACCTCGATGAGGTGGTTGAGCTTGTTTATCACAATGACTCAATGAGCTATACTGGCTGGAGCGAATGTTCCTGTAAGTGGTACCATGCCAGGAAGATTGTTGGGATAACGATTAAACTAAAAGCCGTTACCGCCTTAGTGTAAGAATTTTTTTGTTACACTATGCTGGGGTCTGTGGACGAAGTCGTACTACTGGAGAATAGGGATGTAACAACAGTGATGTGTTTCCCTCAGATGACCAGCATGCCAGCCAGCTATGCTGTCTCCCAATCTGGAGAGAGAGAGGGAGCTAGAAAAGGTCGACCCCAAAAACTGTACATTCCGACTTACCCCACCTACGGTGGTCCGTAAATGGCGGTAAGTTTACTAATACGGAACCGAACCAAAAAACCAGTTCATATAGGTCGTGTGTGACCGCCTGGCCTCAGGCAGTTGTCCCCTAGGCTCTCCGGTCAAGCAACACTAACCTTCTCTGTGTTTCAGGTACCTGAAGAATCAGTCAACTTCGACGGTGTGGTTAACCGGGAAGTAACAACCGCCCACACACTTCCAAAAGCACGCGAAGCCTCCCAGAGCATCATTCTCTTTTATTCACATCACCATCATCTTACTTTCCTTCTAAAGTCGGTACTATTCTTCATTCTAATGAGTCATCTTCACTTCACTCTGTGACCACAAACGACGATGAGAACCATAGAAACACCCTCGACTGGCTATCGACCAAATCACGTGTGTACTGCTCAGCACTCCGCTCCGTCCCCCTTTATGGCTGGTTGTGCGACATGGCCATTGAGAGTGCAAGACATGAAAAAGAACAGCTAGCTGTCTTCGATCATAGGTGCCTGCGTTCTATCTCCTGTGTGAAGTGGTATAATAGGATAAGCAATATTGAGGTGAGGTTAAGCGTGGAGTTACAATAATTTACGAAAGGCGAAGCTCTCTGCTCCGCTAATAAGAATTCTGTTAGGATCTGTCCGTGAAAAAATAAAAGACGGTAGTTGGTGAAGTTTTCGTGCTGACCAACCTAGTACCCGTATTTTCAAACGACAAAGCATTATCCACTAGACCTCTTGAGCCTCGGTGTGTATATCATCACTCGCTGCGGAATGCAGGCACATCCTTCCAGGTGACGAGTCCCAAATAGGACGAAATGCGCGTTATCCATCCACAAATTAGCTCATACTTTTCTTTAAATGCAAAGCTTCTTGAAATGTTTATTCTATTTTTCTTTTTTTTTTTGGCTTTGTTTAATTATCATAACAGGCTGTCTGTGAAACTCCAAAACAATCTGTGCTGGATTCTTTAGGCAATTGGTTAGCTACGCATAAACTACGACCTATAGAATTATCTAGGCAGCTGTTTGGTATTGCTGAACAACAAAACGCTCTACCAGTTCTCCTGGATGGTCGTCTAATCGGTTGGTTGTCAACATTAAATGAAGCTAAACAGTTGGCATTGGAGCTGCGTCAATCAAAAGTTAATCCTGATTGTAAGAATATACCGCACACGCTAGAGATTGTGCTAGTTCCACCGACAGACGTGGCTTCACAATATCCTGGTCTATATCTATTTGCTGGAGGGTCACGACTGCTGAGACCAGTAAGAAATCTACAGAATGTGAACAGGAGTAAGTCAAACGGTAAAGATGCTGGTGGTGGTGGTGGTGTTGTTGTTGAATGGATTGGAACATTTGAACAAGTATATTTGGATATATCTGTTAAAGAGGAAGAATTGAAAGAACGCCTAGCCACGGATAAATCACATATTGAATTGGCACCTGAAAATATTTTCAGTTTTGTCGCCGGTTTAATACCCTATCCAGATTTCAATCAGGTAAGCGCTCTTTTTTGTAGTTTATGTTTTTTCACTTCCTAAAGTGACATTCTATTTACTGTATGTCATAAATAAATTATCAAGTCCTTGGTTAGCGAGGATTTGATTAGTAGTTACAGGATCGATTACCACGAGCTGGTATCAGTTAAAGAACCATTGGAAAACCATCTGGGATCACTGGACAGTTGTTTCGTCTCAGTTTTGGACCCTTTTGGTAGTACACGGACAGTAGAATCCGAACGTTAAGGCCTTCCGGTTACGAAAGGAGTATCATGAATCGAGTAAGTGTTCTCTTGCCCGACTTGGTCGATCCCTTTGGTTATGACTTTCCACTAGGATTTCAAGTTACTTTCTGTATATATAGAGAGCCATTCACTCGCTAATGAGCATCAGGTTGATGTGCAAGTGTTGTGTACTGGAGGGATTTGATTGGCTGCAGATTTGGCGGCGTGTTGACTTCAGTTAGAAAAAAAACCATTGGAAATAACGTATGTGTGAGGCAGCTGTCTGTCTGTCTGTTTTCCACAAAGAACTTTGCACCGATGTGCACCAGTTCAAGTCGCCACACTCCCTCCTTGTAGCACACAAAGTAAGAGAAGAAAGTAAAAGAAATGCATAATAGAGACAGTAAACAGAGGTGTGCGACAAAGGAATAGTAATTGTTTCATTGGAAATTATAAGTCACAAGGAGTGGATGCATCTAACTGCGCCAGTCATTGAGAACGATGAGTTTGAGCCATATCACCAATTGTTTCCAACCATCGGTTTTACCGTCTCGGGGACATCAACCAGGAGGCCAGTATACGTCCTCCTACGTGGCTTAAACTAACTGTTGTGGATTTCATTGACTGGTGAGGCCATGTTTTGGTTTGACCGTCGCTACGTCTTTTCCAACCTGACCCTATGTCAGCTAACATTTGCCGTCAGTCGAGGAAGGCGATGACAAGGCATAGGTGACACATTTCCTAATCATCTCAATCGATGTAACTTCACAGCCTCGTCGATTAATTTATCTTCACTCCTTCCCTAGCACTCGACCACCGATGCCTAACCTCAATATTGCTCACCCTATTATACCACTTCACATAGTAGATAGAACTCAGGCACCTATGATGAAAGACAGCTATCTGACCTTTTCACATCTTCCACTCTCAATGGCCAGCTCTCACAGACAGTCATAAAGGAGGATGGAGAGGACTGGTGACCAGTGCACCATGGCTACTGAAACTTGAACGCTTTAAGCCGTATGTCCCAATCGGAACTCAAGGTATGAATAAGAAGGAGACAGTCTCTACTTTTTCGAATAGTGTGAATTTTCTTGAATTTAACATGCTTCATAATATTTAACTGAATCCATAGTAAAAGTAAATTTCCCGAAACTTGGATGAAACAACTGTCCAGTACTCCCTACAGGTATTCCCGTGTTTCGCTAACTGATATCAATCGGCGATCCAACTTGAAACAAATCAGATCCATACAAACTTACACTTGAAAAGGAATCTGATCTTGGCTAGTGACTGGTTACAGTGTAACAACTGAAGCAAGACACGGAAGCCAAGGTATATTTTTCACTAATCAAATCTCTGTTTATATATATATAGGTGGCTCATTGACACCTGCAAATGGTTGCTTGGTAACGTTTCCCTTTGTACAATCGCAAACTTTATTTTAAACAAATGTATTTTTTCGGCGAATTCATTTTCTTAGCTGTACAATCGAAAATATATATGTGTTATTTTGTATGTATGTGTACATTAAGTTCGTCAAACAAAAATACAATTGGTTATGCTTATTTTAACTAGACAGGTGAAGATTGGTGTAATTGGAGTTAGGTAATACAAAATCGGTCAAGAAAATTGGGTGTTAATGAAATAAGGATAGCAACAAAGGTGATGAATTGTCACAAACAGTTGTTAAAATGAAGTTGTGTAATAATATGAATAATTTGATGAGTGAGTGTGATAATTGAACACCTGGTTAACACGGATGAGGGAGTCGGTGGCATAGTGGTTAGGACGCTCGCCAGCCATACATATGTTCCTGGGTTCGATTCCCGGCCGACGCACTCCTTTACCTCTCTATGCCAGAAATAATGCTTGTAAAGAGGAAAGGTTTGGCATGAGGCTAGCAACCCCATCCTGTAAAATAAAACACTGCTACAGAAACTTCCAGCCACTAGCTTGAAGCCCTACGTTCCACTGGGGAACGTGAAGGAAAAATTATTTATTATTATTATTATTATTATAGTTAAAGCTACATTAGAATTATTGAATTTCTCACAGAACCCATGATTGTATTCACTATTATCAGTCTTCATCTGTATATATATTCGAAATGTATTCATATCATGTGGTGTATTTCTTGATTAACTGTACTGCATCGCATTGTTGAACCACAGGGATGGACATTAGTGTTTAAAATTCAGGCTTCTTTTCTCATGCAAGTTCAGTAGGCTTTTAGACTTCCAGTTGGTAATGCTACACCTCTATGTGACATTTAAAATAAACCTATCTAATACGCAATAACGTTCTACCACACAGCCCAAGTTTTGCACTTACATTTAGACTTCTGCACTTGCTTCAGGTTACTGAATGCTGGTTTCACCTCTTTATTCTCTATGTGACATTCTTATCTGTGGCATCCATACTTCAAACAATTCCGCCTCGATAAGTAAAATAAATGTCTTATTTCCGGTTTCTTACCACCCTTGATAGTCTCTGGTGTTTATTGATGTTATTGGGCATCGCGTATCTTCAACATGCCTGCCTTTCCTGTGTCCTATCTTCGCTGTTTCTGCTGCAAACTGGTTGGTTTTCACGCGCAGATCCTCGAGGGCGACATTGGAAATAAACTGTCAGAGAAATCTAGATCCTCTGAAGTCTCCTTGCTGTTCAAATGTATCCCAGTATTCTCGCTTCTCATGGCCTGTCGTATGATCCAGTCCGCCAAACTAGGGAGGTCATCAATAACAGAAGGCAACTTTGTCCATTACGGGGGCTTAGCTAAGATTTCATTATAAATTACTTGGTATGTGGCATAATCAAATGGTTATTGAGCGAGATTCACAAACATTTAGGAGGCTCCATAATAATGTGTATTCTCATATAAACATGTAAATTTACATGAAAATGCATGCCATTTTTACAGGCACGATCAAGTATGATATAATATCAAATCGTAGATTGTCTACAAGTTAATAATGTTTCAACTGTTAAATATTTGATATATATATAAATACACTCATTTTATGAACCAGACCGTATAGTTATTGAAGGCTGGACTTATCCGGCATGTTGGTTGAAATTTCGCTAGGTAAATTTTTTTGTCATTAATTTTCAATAAAATTGTGTTGTATGTTTTCTGATTTGATAGGAATTATCATTTCCTTGCTAGTTATGCTGGTGTCCGCGTCTTGTAATCTGGCTGCGACACACTTTAAGCATACTGGTTGCGTTGATTAGTGTTTCATGCGGAATGAGTCAAAACATCGCTATAAGGAAGATGGGGTAGTTGGAGGGTAATGTCATCTACATAAATCGTTTACTTCCTGTGGAAGCTGCAGCTTTCGACATAGTGTCATTGAATGAAGACCACGTCAAAATGTGGCTATTTTCATGTGAAGAACAGCACTATTTGACAAACGAATGCTATCAGTATATGGAATCACCTATAAATGCTGACAGAACCTTCTTTGTGTAAAGAAGTTATCTTGTAGATGTGTCTTTCACTGTATCTGTGTTTGGACAGGAATTATGGTAAGTTGAAAGGTTTTCTCTAAGTGGATTTAATATATATTTACACTGATTGGCGCAGTATAACATGGGTTATGTGAATTCAATCTATAGAAGAAACTTCTATTAATATTGTGCCATTGTTTGCTTAGTTGACTGCTAGGCTAACAAATGTAGTTGGTTCTTGTGATTGTTGCAAGTGCAGTGCATTTGAGAAGACAATAACTCGTTTAATTTTCCTCAGTGTTTTACTTATTGCAACTATTCAGTGTATAGTAATAATATACACATGGTTTGTGTTATATATAAATAAATAAATAAATTTATTCTCATGATACAGTACATGAGGGACGCCAGTTTACAGGCATCATCAAATTGTTACAGAAATAGGATCATATTATTTAGTCACAATTTAGAATCGATGACAAAATATGTTTAACATGTACACTGGAGATTATACATACACTTGATAAATGTTAATCCGAATAGTATAAAACATCCTTTTCACTTATGTACAATCATTTCTGTGCATAGTTGGAAAAATCAGCTAGATTGTCAGTGAGTGCAACACATCAGGAAATACAGAAGTATTGTCTTCGCATTAACAAAAAAACCAGGTCTTTGGTGGATGGGTTATAAGTGCCTGGAAAAAAAAATAAAGCTTGAAGTCAGTTTTCATACATAATTTTGTTGTGTACAGAATTCTTGAATTATAGTTCATTGATGTGTTATGTTGATATCAGTGATATGTTTATCTCATTTGATCTGCAATGTCATTGTTGGGAGTAAAATACATAAGCTTTAGACGCATTAATTAGTGGATTTCTACTGCTTGTGGGTATTTACTTCTCGTGAGGAAGGTTTTTGAATTTTATTTGTTACGACATGAGTTGTGGATATTGACTGCTCAGCAACATTACGGATATAAGTTCATCACATTATCTCAGGAATGTTGGGTTGTAGTTGGTGAGGCATATATGATGTCCGACGAGCGTACATCTGTCCATGTGATGTTGTGGTGAGTTCTATCTTTTTCACGTTGTCGGTTTATGTCCATTTTATTCCACTTATTGTGTTGGGTAGAAGTTTTACAAACGAAACTTCTTGTCTTTTTGAGGGTAAGTATCTTAATCGTTAATGTTTCTTCCTTATATATATATATTTCTTCCTGTTTATGCAGGAACATACCAATTGTACAGGCATGGATAAGTTATCATATAAATTACACATAATTCGGTGTGATGAATTTATAGTGTGGTTGTTCTTTCT